TTTTAAAAAAAAAAAAAAGTGGGGGTAACGGGAGGGGGAAAATCCCCGGGCAAATTCCCCCCAAAAAAAAAAAAAAAAAAAAAAAAAAAAAACAGTAAGCAGAACTAACCATTATTTTTTACTAAATAATTGGCCAACCACCTTTACCCCCAGCCTCCTCTGATTTAATGACCTACATCCATACTACCACCTCATGCCAGCTGGCATGACACAATCCCTGGCAGCCTCGGCCTTTGACGCGAGAAGAAGTGGACCGCTTTAACCTCACAGCTCTCTGTAACCTCCCCATAAGCTCCCAACAATTTCAGCTGGAACTGGGAACGGACGGCACTCTCCATGTCCAACAGAAACACCAGGGCTGGGAGCCGCTTATGAATTCCAAGTTAGACAAATAAATCCATACATGTTTGCGGTACGGCTAACCAGGAACTTTCATGCCAGCCTTTGGTTTGTGAACATCTAAAGTGGGCAGAGCATATACCTAGCATGCTCTACCGTTCACGTAAAACATATGGAGTCAATAAAGTGAAAGGCCAAACAAAGTGCATGAAACTGAAATTAAACTAACACAATTTAGAATCTCAGTTTCGTCGTCTGTCCCCAGGAGTCATGTTAATGCAAAGTGTAGGGTTTTTTTTTGTATCAGGCAGACTTTTCAGCAAAGGAAAATATTAGGAGCTTGCTACAGCTGAAGTGTAGAACTGCGTGTACCTCAGTGATCTAATGAAAAAAATGTCAATGTAAAAGAGATCAGAATGATTACTCATAAGACAAACCAACAACCTACGTGGTTTAGAATACGTCACTGCTGCCACACGATAAAGGACGCCAAGCGCTATAAAAGACGTGGAAAAAGTTAGACCTTTGGTATGTAGCAAAAAGATGCAAGAGCTGCTGTCACACGGTTTCCTAACCTGACATGTATGCTGGGAATTTTAGGAAACAAATACTGTCACATCTTTTAAGTCTGCATTGCTTTTGATGCGCTGCCTTTTCGAATTCAAACCACTCGACAGCATCAGTGTTACCTTAATTTTGTCAAGATGTTACCGTCTTGTTTGTTTGAAGATTTGAAGATCAGCAGGCCATCTGGGATTGAAATTTCAATGTCCTCTTGAAGTAGTGATCATATGATGACTTATTCTGACAGTTGGCCTTGCTATCAGTTTCATTTTCAGTTTCAATCATATGCAATGATAAGGTAAGCAACTCTCAATCATCATAAACTGAGTATCTTTATAGTGTTGAATGTGACTGAATGATTTATTATTATTTTTTTTTGTCATTTATATAACATTTGCGAAGCAGATTTGTAAAAGCTCTTGCAAAGCATGCATATGAGAGTTGTGAGATTAATGTTGCAAAATATCTAGCTAATCGGTTGCAGCGTCGCCACGTTGATTATCAGACCATGCAGACTACGATAAGAAATTCATGAAAAGACAATCTGGAGCACAATATACCTTTGGCGTCCAGTCTTCTTCCACCATAAACATACAAGGCAGATATGCATCTGCTTCTTCATATGTATCTCAACAATAGTAAAATGACTTCAGACTGTATACGCTTTCCCATATCTATGAAAGCATGCCATTTGAACTCCGAAAACAAGAACATACCTGTGTTCATACCGGTTTTGGGACACACAGAGCCATAACATTGCAGTTAAACTATACTGAACTGAAAAGAAAGCTGTGGTTTAATTTCACACTATAAATAACAGATGTCCTGCGTTCTTCTTGTCTGTGAGAACTATATATGAAACCACTCTTTCTCAATATACTCATGTTTTGAGCCCCACTTTGAGGAAGTTTGCTTTTTTCACTTTTTAGTCAAACAAATCTGGACACTAGAACATAAATAAGCATCCACGACAATTTTGAGGTCACCACTGATTTTAGGCAACTACTGCTCTTCTCCTCAGGGTTGAAGAGATGATGGTGTGAAGTGGGAGATTTAAATTCAACTTGCTATCAGATCTAATTGCACTGAACTTTTTTAGCAAGAAGCACTGTTCCTAACTATAATTCAAAACAGCTTCTGGGGGTTAAAATAGTGTCTCGTTGATTTTCAGAGTCAAGAAGGCATTCTGAATTTAAGCAGGCTTTTACTTGTAAAAGGGTGGAGCCATTAAAGACGTTTAGACCTTGACTTTAAAAAAAAAAAAAGAAAGAAAAATCTAATGCCCTTGCATGAGTGGGAAGCAGAACTCATTCAGCTAATGCCTGGAAAATGAATTTTTGAGTAATTAATCCAGTTAGCTTTTATTATCATTCCAATCACTGTAATTGGATCAGATTAGCCACAGAAATACAGCAAGAAAGACATTAACGTATATCCTTATAACAAACTAGAACAGTTCCTTCTTATCAGACCTGAATTGCAGTCTCTCTCTCTCTCTCTCTTAAACAGTAATCATATTGTAGTGATTATGTTTGACTGTAAAAGCTGGGAGATATTTGGGTTGTTTTTAAAGCCAGACTCCTGTAATCAGCACTGTAAGTAAGTTACTCTTGAGTCAATTTTTTATATATGTATTTCTCTGGGTTGACAGCTAATTTAAAGCATGAACAATTGATTCCGGGAAAATCAGAATCTGGCGTGTAATGTATATTACTGTATCCACCTGCTCGGTAGGGCCAGAAACTCTTGTATTTTCAGCTTTGTCTGGCATCTGTCCGACACAGAGCTTTTGAAGTGGAAGGAGTATACGACCAACTTTTTTTTTTTTTTACTGCAGTGTTCAAGTTTATTTTAGTGTATAACTTCAGGCCAGTAATGGAATGAGTGTTTCTCATTCTGTGTGCTGTTTACAGACTCTTTCTTCTTCTTCTTCTTCTTTTTTTATTCTCTTTGGTGTTTCCATGTTTTGGCGATAGCAAAGGAAAAAGTTAAGCAACAGACAGAGAAGGATGCGATTGTTATCTTACCCTCCATCCTCCTGAAATCCCTCCAGTTCATCCTTCTGCTCTGCCAGGGTAGACTCCAAATCCAAATAGCTTCCATTATGGGACAGCTGGAGGGCGCAGTCATCCGGCTAAGCATGCAACCACACACACACACACACACACACACACACGCGCACACACACGCACACACACACGCACACATACATAAAGAGGTTAGATTTAACCAATGCAGTTTTGATCCATTCTCATTAGGTAAAACATGTGACACCAAAACCCAAAGAAAGCTAAACTGAAAGAGTGTATTACATTAACACTGTACTTACAATAAGACAAGACAAAACAGTTCTTTTATCAGCTCTTCGGCGATAAACACAGTAAAGCTATGAAGAGTCAGAGCTGCTTTTCTGTCTGCTGTCTCTTATCTCTCTGCTCCATCCCCCGCCATGTCCGACAAACTATCATCGAGCGCGATGATTTCACAGTGAGGGCATAATTCGTCTGGTCCTTAAAGGTTGTCATCACCCGACTCGGGTCAAGGAGATGAAGAATGAGAGCGTCTGTTCACTTGTCTGCTTGACCTCTAAAATTGAAGATATTAACCTATTTATATTGGAGGTCTGTCGGCTCCGCAGGACCCCGGCTCCGGCAGCGAAGCAAGGACGCAGGAAAACAAATACCATTAAAAGAGTCCAAACATTTGATTTCAGGAGCAGAGACTTGGCACCGCTCCACTCCACTAACACTCTGGGTGTCTAAAACAACATGTGGTACGGGCAGATCTGTTCGCTCTGCTCCGTAATGAAACACAAAGGAGGAGAGATTTGGGAGGCAAATCTTCCAACATCTTTATTTGTAACGAGCAACATGTGCAGTAAATACGTAACATGTAGGATTTCTCACAGCAGTCCATTTACTCCCAGACTGATGCACTGCCACTTCCTTCCTTCATTCTGTATATGACAGTAACTTCATTAAACATGATGGAGCAACAGAGGAAGAGACTTTATGGCTTTGAAGTGTTCAGCCACTCTGTTTGCATTACTGCACTCTGAGACTGTGTCAAATTTTGGAACTGAGACAAAACATGTGGTCAGATGGGATAGCTCTCCATCCCCCCCAACCCTCCTTCTGACATTTTTTTCTGATTCAGAGCTGCAGTCCCCCTCTACTCACTGGTTCAGCAGATAACGATGTGAAAATACCCTTAAAACGAAAAAAAGATATTTTAGTGCAGTTGCCTATTTTTTGAAAAATTTAAATTAAATTATCTTATTACATAGAGAATAGAAGCTTTCATTTAGTAATCATTTAATATCCATTCAGCGTATTTATTTACGCTAATGCATCCATCTATCTAAGCCACTCTTTAGGAAGGACAAGAAAACGTGCCATAAAAGTAAGTAAGTCAAATGTATGTTCATGTGAAGTCATTAAAAAAAATAACTGCTTGCCGACACCCACCTGTATGTGAAGTCAGAGAGATAATAAAAAGTTTTTGAAGAAAAACAAAAAAACAGGGTTGTATAAAATTTACTGAGCTATTGCACACAGTCAGGAAGATAACAAAAGCCAGCAATAAAAAAAATAAAAAGGATATTGTGTTCTTGGGATCACCAAGTCATCATGGATGTTATCTAAAGGAGAGTTGATGGTTTGAGAGACATGACAGATGTAAATATTTAGTCTTCTAAAAGACAATGGACCTTTAACTGGAACTGTCCTGTGTTCAAAGGACCAGACAAGAAATAAGCCAGGAAAATTGATGAAAATATTTTGTATAGTGACAATAATGAACATAAACCATTCATATTTGCAAAACTACAAAAACAGGTAGCATAGTTGGAATTGGTGTTAAAGCTTTTCTACGGTTGTATGTCTCTCAGGGGTGTAACTTAATAACCCTAGTAAGGTCACTAATGATTGGAAGAAAACTATCGGATAAAGGGCATGTTTGGCTTAAAACAGGATTTGTGTTTGTAGCATATGGAATAATCAATTCATAGCTAAATACTTTACTATCTATGATTTTATTCTGCTGCAATAACTGGCAAAAGCCAGTTATTGCAAATGCTGAGCAGGATTCAAAACAATAATTTATCTGCTCTTTATTTTTATTTAAGAAATAAATGAGCAGCAAAAAGTACGAAAGCCAACTTTTCCCAAAGATGATGCAACGGAAAAAAATAACTTTAAAGAAATTCATAAGAGATAGAAAGACACAGGGAGACAGAAAGAAAAGAGGAAAAACAAGCCCAGCAAAGCAAAGGATGTAAGATTATAGGACATTAGAGGGAATCCAAGCATAAAGCATTCAAAATAAACCTGCTAAATTTATGACTTTGGTTTTCTACAGTGGCATTAATATAACATGCAATGCGAAAAATAAGAAACTAATTCCCATTACCCCATACTGAACTACCAAAGAAACATTGTTGTATTTTATTGAATCCAGGTCTTTATCCCCTTTACCTGTACATTACACTCCAAGAACTCAATGAACCGAACAGAAAACAAGAGCAAAATCTTTGCTGCCTGTTTTTTCACTCTGCATTACCTTAAATAGACAAAGCACAGAATCAGTCCTGCAGCTGTAACCAATAATTAGCCAACTGTGGAACCAATAAATGACTAGCAGACCGACAAAAAGCAAAGAGGCAAACTCAGAGCTTTCTGTTTCTCTATGTATCCACACTTTCACTTCCACTCTTAACTCCCTTATATTCCTCATTACAGAATCAACCTGGATTACACATCACAGCTATTGGTACACAAGTAATGCAAGGCCAGGGTGGTGCGCTTAATTGTCCCTAATCCAAGAATCGGAAGGAATGCAGGTCACAACTTATCAGAAGCAGGGATTTGTTTGGCTGTCTCCTGCCCAGGACTTGAACCCACAGTAGCACTGCGATGGCCAAGTCCAGAGAAGCAACCGCAAGCGCTCTGCTCGCACTGAGGTCTGGCCTCTCCCTTCAACAGCCATGCTGTGGTCCTCTGACCAGGGAGGCAGTGCAGGGAAAAATGACTAAAAATAAACACCATGCAATTTCCAATTTAAAGCTTCTATCACACTCCAGCTTCTTTTATTCAAGCAAGGAGAGAAATCTAGAAGCAAACAGCGTCGACTAAACACACTGCATGCACACTCCTGCATATTTATTCCATGTACTGCCTCTGTAGTGGCTACCTCGCACATCTGTGTTTGCAAAGTACAATAAACTCTACGTCACACCAGATGAAATCCAGCAATCTCCTTCATAAAGCTTTTGATGAAGCCACCTTGGGGTCTTCTTGTGAAGCCACGTGACACCAAAGCACACCTGATGGACGAATGAGAAACCACAACAGTAATCTGAAGTTTCTGTCAGGCACAGTGTTGGACAATGCATTCTTTTGAAAGGGGCCTTCTGCTGCGACAGCTCCTCAAAATGCATGGAGGAGAAAAACCTCAGCGCCGCATGACAATGAGAACAGCAATTCAAAGGAGGAACCTGTATTTTAAAGTGTTTTACATAACGTCTCATTTAACACAGCTTCTCATTATGGGGCCAGAAAAAAATGCAGAAAAACAATTGTCTCTGAAGTTTAAATTGGTAAAGTCACAGTCCAGAATTGGAATCAAACAGCAGCCGACCAGAAGCGGTATGGCGGAGCTTTGATTTACAGATGCGTGCTAGCAAACATTAAGCGCATTCCTTCCCTGTGACGCCGATAGGTGTGAAACGATTCTCGCACCTGAGTTGTGGATCATTGCATCTCCTCCAAAGTTATCCTAGATGCTGTTTGTTCACAACCTCCTGAGGCCTTCACAGAACAACAGTTTTTATGCTAAAATTAAGCTACGCAGAGGTGTTTACTTCTTAAGGAGGCTGGTTATTCTGATTTTTACTAAGGAGTGTGACAGTAAAATTTAATAAAAAAAACATGGAAGCCACATTTTTTAGGTTTAATTTGAACAAGATTGTGAAAACCATGCACCACATTGTCTTCCACTTCTCAGTAATGAGCACTATGTATATCATCACTATGTAAGTCTCAAAAAATAAGACTTTATGCAGAACATAAAGTGTCATTTTTTTTATGTGTCGCATAAAAATGGAGCACATGCATAATGAGACTTATGCATGTGTCATGACATGCATTTTGTTATGCCATGACAAAATATGGAAGAGTTCAAAAGGTAGGACTTTGCTGTAAATGCCAAAAAAACGGATAAATTATAGCTTACAGGACACACACTTTACACACTTTCTGGAGAACATACTGTGTCTTTATGACCTACATTTGTAAAGCGCTTTATCAAGTCAGAAGACTTCTTAAACACTACTTTGGTCATTCCCCCATTCTTTCACACACTGATGGTGGAAAGCTACCTTGTAGTCATAGCTACCCTACGGCAGTCTGACAGAAGCAAGGTTGCTATTCAATAGGCGCCACCAGGCCCTCTGACCAGCACCAGCAGGGAAGGTGGGTGAGGTGTTTTGCCCAAGGGTTACACAGATGAACTCCTACCTCCTAGGCTACTGTCGCCCTGTTTTTATTTGTAGAAAAAAATGCCACGGCAAGACCACACACTCTGCACCCAACATGTTGACTTTAAACCTTTCTTCTTCCCAGGTGCTACTCTATCAATAGCACAGTCCAATTTAATGCAGGGTCAACTACACCCATGCGCAGATCTCCATATGTCAGCTTTAGGAACTGACGACCACAGCTCAGAAAAAGTACATGCAAGCTGCCTGGATCCCTGGACACCATGTGTGAACAGCACACTATTTATATCAGATTGACCTCTGAGCTCCGGGGCTCAAGGCTTGTTGCCTGAGCCATTTACAGGGTCACTCTTAAAACAAATTCTTTAAAGAATGTAAATCGCAGAACAACTTGCTGCATACTGTGACACCATCGTTGTTGCTGAGATAAAGTGAACAAAATTACACCCAAGCAGAAATGCCAATGGACTGAAAACAAAGACTGGGCTCATTTTTTAGTACATCAGTGTTTTGTTGTTTTTTTTTGCTTGTTTTTTTCACTGCTACCTTCCATCTGAAACACTTCAAAGTTTCTCTGTCACATCCTGTCAATGGAAGCAAGCTGGCGTCTGAATGTGAAGCAAGCCTGTGGTAATCTACAACCACCCAAAAGCTTCCATGTCCCCAACTCTGTGTAAACAATCTGCAATAACACAGATCTGACAGGACAATGAAAGACCCAAAATAAATTTTGAGGTATGTGACATCCCTATTAAACAAAGATAAAAGCGCATTAAAGTATGATGGGTTACGCAACTATGTTTCACTTGACTTTGAAAGGTGAGAAGGTGATATTTCTTTCCAGTGTATTTGAGTCCGCATGGTCAAACTGGAAGGCCAAAACAAACATTTCTAAAGATTTCGACGTTAGGAAGCCTTTAAAAGACATTGGAAGAAAAACAAATAGAAATAAATGGAGCTATTCTTGATGTTTTTTCTGATCAAAACAACTGCACCATTCAAAACAAAAACATTTGGGTGACTTCAAGCTATTTAAAAATGGCTATAATATTATCAACAGAGGAAAAATCAAGCTGTTGCAAGATAAATAATGTGGTAAGCATCACCTTGATCCTGAAGATATGCTGAAAGCAGATTGTTCATCAATCTGACAAGGAAATCACAGGAGCTGTGAAGTTTGTTCTTGTTTTTTTTTTTTTACATTTTGTCATGTAACATGTTGGTAAAGTTTCTAAAACGTTTGCATTTCAGTTCTATGAATTCATGTAAGTAACACTGGTAAATCGAGTCCCTCATGAGTGTAAGTTCAATAACAGAAAGTCTCAGGGTTTTGTTAGAGAACATTAAAGTACCAAAAGGACCAGTGTTACTTTGATGTTCTCCTTGACAGGTCAAGGAGAAAGTTGTGGAGGAAACTTGGTAACTCACCTAAGTCTAAACCTCCATCCTGGCCAAAAGGAACACCAATCAAAGAAGAAGTCAAGAGGTACATGGTAACTTGGGAAGAGCTGAAGAGATCCACAGCTCTGGTCGAACACTTGGTTGACAGATCAACTATTGGTCAGGCACCCCATGAATTTGGCCTTCATTGAGGAAGGCCAAAGGAAACCAATCAATAGTCTTGTCATCAGTTTGCCACAAAGAATTTAGGAAACACACCAAGCATGAGGAAGAACATATTCTGGTCAGATGAGGATTAAAGTTCAACTTTTTTGGCCTACATGCAAAAAGTGAAGTCTGGAGGAAAATCAACATGGCACATGTCACCCTGAATACATCATCCCTTTGCTGATTCACAGCAGTGAAAGCATCATGTCTTAGGGGTGCTTCAGGGATAGAGAAGCTGTTCAAATACAAATCCAATTCACACTTTTGATTTGTGAGGAAAGTTGAAAAGCATTTATTTTCTACTTCACCATGGTGCAGTATTTCCTGTCGGTTCTGTCAGAGGGTGAATATTTGAGCAAGGTACTGAACGAGTCCCTTTCCTTACAGGTTTGCATTTTTTTGTATTCAACACAAAATGTCACTAAGTCTATAAAAAATACATATGACATAAACGTTGTTGTTTTACATGTTCAAAATTAATTCATTACCAACAACCCTTCAGAAAGAGTAAGGGGTTTTCATTCCTGCATCACTAAGGGTAACTAAGGTAACCACTGTTTGGATCCATTAGCATTTCTGCACCAGGTCGCTTGCTCAATGATCCAGCTTGGGTTGGTAACCTAGTAACCCCATCAACACCCTTAGGGCAATTGTTAGTTTAAGTAAGAGTGTTAAAGTGTAGCTCAGCTCATTGAATAATAACAACAGAAGCAATAAATGTTTGCAAACATACCTTGTGTGGTGCTTTCAGCAGCCTGTGGACTCCAGCTATCTGATTGATCAGAGGAATATCTTCCCTAAAGGTGTACAGAGGCGGTCTGGTGGGCTCTGGGAAATTGGTGCTGTTGAAAGGGTCGGTGTCATCTAAGAACTGCACCCTGCATGTAAGCGTAGCCATGATGTATCCATTCAAGGTGATATGAAGTGATCAGAATAGTGGATGCGACGCTGAAACCTCTGACACCAGCGCAACCCTCCTCTTTCTCCTTCTCCTCCCCCCGCTGCTGCTGCTGCTGCGGGGGCTGCGAACTACCGGCAGGTTCTCTGCAGTGGCGATCTCCCGCACCCTGTTATCCTTGGAGCTTCCCCATGAGTTTCACACTGCGTAGATGGGGCTGCCGCAATATTTGTTCCCGGGATAAGTCACTGGGAGACCGGACTGGTCAGAGCGCTGCCGAGGCGGATGGAGCGACAGTGTCCAAGGACATTGAGGTGTTCGGACGGGACTGCTGCACTTGGTGTCTGGTCTGCGAGAGCGATGCATAAACTCTGCTAGAGGGATTCAGCAGTCGGACCTCAGCCGGCGGACCCACAACAGCTCATGTTACAGGCGCAACCGTGACCTCTAGTGGCTAAAATAAAAAGTGCAAAAAAATAAATTATATATATATATATATAAATATATATATATATATATCGACGTTGCAGTTGATTTGAATAAGAATGTTCCGAAGCAAAACACTCTAAATATAAAATGTCAATAAATATAATATATCGCATATTTTGTTTTATATAGATATTTATTACATACAGAATTAGACATTTCAAACACTTACATCCACCAATTTCTAAATTCTATTTAAAAGGAATGCAAGCCAAGTCTGCTTGCACAGCACCATTCATAATGCAAGAGGTAATTTACAGTGCTTTACAGGAAATGACACTAAAGAATAACCAGACCTTGTATTTTGAGGTGCCATACAAGATAAGATCACAGTGTGTTGGAATCGGAGGATTAAAAGTGTGATTTTAAAAGAGATTTAAAAACAGAAAGAGAGGAGGCCTGTCTGACACTGAAGGGTAACTTGTTCCATAACTTCGGAGCAACAACAGCAAATGCTCTGTCAGCTCATCATCAGCAGTAGTTTTAGGGACTGTCAGCAGTAACTGATCATGCTGATGATAAATACTTTTGAAAGTCTTTTGCAAACAATAAATTTAAAAGTGTGACATGTATATGTTTGTTAATTTCCAGAGAATTCAAAGGTCAATGCTTTGCACAACCACCTTTATTGTAATCGCAAATGCCAAACCTTGTGAGTAAGTCTCTTTCTGTTTTTCATGTATAGAGAGTAAGGAAACTAATATGGCAACACCTTAGAAACAATAATGATCATATATTGAATATGTGCCAAGATGTACAGAATATACCATTTGTTCTGTTGGTCAGAACACAAACATCAAAACACCCAAGGAATGTGATGCTATATGGTGGAATAAACCTGAAAGACAACAAATAACAGTAATATTTTGGCTTTCATTTGTGGTTTACTTGTACTTTTCAGAGTGATGATTTAAATCATCTTGTTCACGGATATCCATGTCCAGACGGGAAGTGCTGTATTAACATTCTTCAACACAGGTAACTCAAATATTCTTTTCCAGGAATCATAAGACTTGAATGACTGAATGCTGATATTTGATGCAGTTGTGTTCAACACGGCACCTCTGTTCTTGTTTATAAGTTTTGCAAAAGTCTTTTATTCATACAGTACTTTTGAAAGAATGCCGCAACTGTGCTTTTGAGATTAGAAGAGACAATGCATGCCTCATTTTTATTACTTTTTAAAAAGCTTTTTATAGTGTCTGTTTGCTATTATTGATTACATGGAGCAATATCAATGGATGGTAATCACTTGTTGGGTGAAGAGAGCCAGGAAATGAAACACATTTATTGTTGCCAGACATGATCCAAAGTTATTTCAAAGAAAAAAAAAAATACTGATATGAGTGTGTGTATTTTTTTTTATATTAGTTTGACATGGATCATAAACAATTAATCTAAGTTATTTAAAGTGACGTGTTAAATACTGAAGCAAAAGGAATTCAACCCTGGAGCTCAAATGTGAGGTCATATTCCATCTGTCCAGCAGGTGTCACTGTGGGTTTTCATCACACTGTTAAAGAGCTGATGGGGTTTGCATGAAATACAACGCAATTTGTAAATCTAATCTCTTTGTGGTTGTGTGCAGGTAACAGTGAGGTAAAACAGGATATTGTGAGAAATAAAATATTGACACATTATCACAGTTTCAGTCTTTATCCCATGCTGTTGTTGGATTTGTTATCACCAGAACATCATGCTGTTCCTCACATTGGCTTACAGAGATGCTTTCTAAGATAACAGTAACACATCAGTGCAACAAAATGCTTAAAGCACGTATTGTTTATGTCTTATTCAGTAGCTGCCTGTACTCACAACACCAAATAAAAACAACAACATTTAGATGTTCATTACATAAAAAAAAAAAAAAAAAATTAAGAAAGAACTAAAATTAAATTAAAATGATCCCTCTACAACACACTTTTACTTGACTTATTTTGATGACAAATTTGACATAAACATTCAGAATGAGCTGAAGATTTGGTTCAGAAAACTGTTGATGTGTTCTACTCTAAGTTTCACATGTCTACACAGGTCATAATATTAATTGTTTACGCTTAAGTAGGTTACATCACAAACTAACAAACCAGATCACATCATAAAGGAAACAAAATGCTTGTTGAATATAATCATGTTTTGTGATTTCTTTATATTGAGATGTATTTAAGCTTGAAGGTATACTAAGTTGTTTTAACGTGAGCAATTTTGTTCAATTGTTTATTTAATTTAGGTGACATGTTATCCAAAATGTGTCACAATGTGCCATTTCAAAGTAAGTATTTTTTATAATATAGTCAGAATTTCACTAAGTTCTTTTGGGTGTTATATAAACATATGATTTCAACAACAACAAAAAAAAAAAAAAATCAACACATTTTTAGACTGAGAAAGTAAATAATTGAATCTACAGAACAATTTATGAATGCATTGGTTACCAAATACTCTGGGTCTGTCTTAAAAGTTGCTTTGGTTAGCATTTTTTTTTTTTTTTTTTTGGTTTACATAGCATGGAAAAGCCAAATAATGATAATGATTATTACAATTTAAATCACAAGATTGTACTAACATGCTCTTTCTACATCATTTAAATTTTACTGAAAAGATTTACTGAACACAATTGATTATTGTTTTCAGTCATAAAAGCATGTCTCTGTCTTTTATTTGACCTAATCATATCATATATTACCTTCACACGTCATCTTCTCGATCCCTTTCAATCACCTAAAGCTTTGGCTGTTTTATGACTGTAGCTGCTTGTTAGTTTCCCACCTGTGGACCTAAGAGTGATGCAATGTTGCCTGATGAACCCTTAATGTAACTTTTGTGTCGCATGTCAACAGTTCATGTGGGTGTATGAGCAGTGGGAATGCATGTCACTGAGGGTGCATGCATGTTCTTCCCCGAGCATGTGTGCATTCTGAATCACACGCAGGTACGTAGTTGTCCTTTTTGTGCGTGTTGTGGACGGACGGCGATATTGTCCCCAGAGCGTCACGTGCTGTGGAATATGCTGGCTGCCTTTGTTGTCCCTCTGCCTGTTCTGCTTTTCTGGCACTTTCATACAATGGTGCACTTGAACACTGCGGTGTTATTAAGCCTTTCAAACTACTACAGCTTGAATTCCAACTCTCGGGAAAAGACAAGCATCCTAATGTAGGACACATGGCACAAGAAACACCATCGAAAAGTAATAACCAGAACCAAGTGTAACATCAAAGCAAAGGTAACAATGCAGCCTACACTCTGTGTGCTTTTCCCGAAAATTAGATGTGATTTGAAGTGTTAGGTCTGTATTTTTGAAGAAGCGTGGTTGTGTGTGGTGGTTATAAGTAGTCAGAATGTAACCTGCTGTTACATCAGATCAGAGCGATCAGTAAGAAAACTGAAAAATCAGTTCTCATGGAAGAGTTAAGCTAACAGCTCCTCAAAACAGGTAAAGTGTAAAACAAAGTATTGCATGATTTGAAGAAAACTCAGTCAAGCCTTTTCCCTAACCAGACCATTTGGTATTTTTGAAACTTTTCACTGGTCTGTGAGATGCTTTTTATTATTTGCTTGAGTAGACAATGATCAAAGTCTTACATTTATGTGCATTTGTTTTGTATGTATGGACTCGAACTGTGGATGCACTATAACTCACATTTCTTGAACCAAAACAACAGATACGAGGCAGCAAAACTGAGTAAATGCTGAAGTGAATGCAGCAATATGCAGTTTTGTAGCGAAGGAAGAATTTACCTTTATAAACCAGATAACACAAAAAGAGAGCTACTGGTTACACAGTGAGAAACTCCTGGCAGGCTAAGTCTCTCGATACGTTTCTCCAAATCGCTGTTAAGAAAACATTAGGACCTCTCTAGTGGGTATGTGCTTATTGTGTTGTTTCGGGAGCGGTTGGAGCATTCATCATAGCATTCATTCCCAGATATACAATGGAACTTCAGAGTTACATATTTAATTCATTCCAGTTTTTAACACACCTTGCACGACTTTGTATACAATTACAGTCACAGTGGTATATCTTCTTGACACCGCGGTCGGCATTAGAAGAGTATTTGAAAGGTTTTAGGATTTTTATTGCTTTTTGGAAGAAGAAATCATTTCCACCATGACTGCATTTACAACATGTGCTGCTCTCCTTCCTGGGGCATTTTTAGTTGGCTGAAGCAGTAATCCACAACACACACAAATCTCAGCATCAGTGACACATGACATGCACTTTGCATTTATGTACAGATTCATCAACTTCCTACTCAAAACAAACAGTTCAAAAGGTCATAAAAATGTTTGTTGCACATGGACCTTGCTGACTCTATTGGGTAAAGTAGTGCTGATGAAATTTACAGTCTTTGCTCCATAATAGACCTGGGAGTATTAATGTCCAAACAGTTGACCAGCAGTGGGCTATATCTGCCTGTCGCACACCTAATAATGTGGCAAACCAGACATTATTATTTTTCTAACATTATTAGATTAGGTTTTTTGTTTTTTTTTTTACATTCCTTCATTCCTTATCTAGGCAATGTCTCAGCGAGCTGATACGTCCCAGTGTGGTGGGGTTGTGGTTGAATTAGAATCTGACAACATCAGAGGTTCAAGAACTCGAAGAGCAAGGAAAATACCGGGTAAGGTCCCCCTTCTGGGTTCAGGCTTGTGTTTTGTGCATGCAGCAAATTCACACTGACCTACTTTTATATTTTCATGTTTCCTTTTGAGGTTCAGCTCTTATCTACCTCAAAGGCCCCAAGTTTCTCATCTATGTGAGTGGAGCGTTATCTATGTGGGTAAGAGACATTTCTGAAGAGACAAAACATGGCCAACGATAGAGCAAACAGCAAAGCTGTCCTTTTTGATGTAAAATGTGTGCAATAATACACACATTTATTAACGACATTGTGTTTTGGATTTAACAGGGTGACCGCATGTGGCACTTTGCAATCTCTGTGTTCCTCATTGAGTTGTACGGCCGCAACCTGCTGTTGACAGCAGTGTTTGGATTGGTGCTGGCTGGGTCAGTGCTGTTGCTTGGGGCTTTAATTGGAGACTGGGTTGATCGCAATCCTAGGAATAAAGGTATGCACGATTATTTCCCCCACTCCTTTTGAAATGCCGTCAGGTAGCAGAGATGGAAAGGCATTGATAGAGATCAGAAGAATCCAATTTTTGACAAGGAAATCTGTTGGTTCCACCAAGGTTGTGAATGTCATTAACGTGATAGCTAAAATATATCAGTTTTTTTATTTTTTTATTTGATTGTTATACTTTCCCAGCATGACTCCATGAGTAGAGAGTCTGCATGAATGTTTTGCGTCACTTAGATTTACTTTTATACGGTCATGTGTGAAAGTCTGAACGTCTTTTTCTCCATCTTCTGTTTTAGTTGCACATGCATCTCTTTTCATTCAGAACACCTCAGTGACTGTATGTAGCATTGTGCTCATGCTGGTATTCTCATATAAGGAACAGATTGAGCTGATCTGGGATGGATGGTTTACTGTAAGTAGGCTTTAAATACTGGCTAATAATTAGGAATTAACATGTAGCTAATGTACGGTAAATGTACATAAATAAGTTAGCACTGTTGTTTTTCTTCCCTTTTTTCTGTATCCCTGTTTCCTCTGCTTCTGAGCTTGTGGCTACTCTGTGCCATCATAGTAACATGTTGCATCGCAAAACTCACACAAGGTAGTTTGTTATACGGTGGTGATCATCCTGGCAGATGTGGCAAACCTCGCAAGCACAGCGCTGACCATTGCCATCCAGAGGGACTGGATAGTGGTTATTACAGGCTACAACCGAGGCCACCTGGCTGGTGAGAAAGTTTACTCTGCATCTTTGTTTGTACTCATGGTCGCAGGTTAACAAGCTCCTGTTTTTCTTTTCTTTTTTTCCCCCTGAAAGTCTGTGTGTGGGTAAGCTTTCATCTCGGTGTGTTTGATCCCAACAATAGGAATGAATGCCACCATGAGGAGGATAGATCAGGTGACCAACATCCTGGCCCCACTGGCAGTGGGACAGGTCATGACCCTGGCCTCTAACGTGGTTGGCTGCGGCTTCATCCTGGCGTGGAACCTCTTTTCTCTCATTGTGGAGTTCTTCTTCTTGTCAAGAGTTTATCGAATCGTTCCAGCGCTTTCAGTCAAACCCCCGACGGTTGAGGGCGATCAGGAGTACCTGGAGAGGTCGGAGAGGAGAGGGTTGCAAGGTATGGGAGTTTTTTTCATGACTGACTTTCTAATGTAATGCTACGTCTTAAAACATAAGTAACAGAAAAAAAAAACATGAGTGCATCATGTGTGGAATGGTCCAACTTTACTCATTCATCAATGACATTTCAGATACATTTTTTTTTTTGTCTTCACAGGGACTCATGTTTTGTCCCAACAGGAGTTTTTGTGGAACGCAGCTTTATTTTCTGCTTCAGTTTTTACGGAGAATGAAAAAAAACAAAACTGCTACAATGTTCTAAAATTGCCTAAAGCATACAGAGAGCAATACAGTAATTGCTTTGTAGTTTATTTCTGAAGAAACAGTGTCTTAAAAAAGTATTTACCCTGTTCATCTTTTTTACTTTGTGTCACACTTAAAAGTTTTATATCATCAAGCAAATTTTCATATTTATTAAGGGGGATAAACTGTTCAAATCATTGTGGACCTTAAAAGTAATTGTACCCTAAACCTAATAACAGGTTGTGCCCTGCCTGGTGGGAACAACTTCTATAAAGTCTGTGCATAATTGGGCAACATTATTTAAAACTATTTAAATGATCAAGATGTTTTTGGTTTTTTTTGTTGTTGTTTTTTTGGGGGGGTGTGGGGGAACGATGTAGACACCTTTTGTTCTTTTTAACCATTTGCACTTCAAATGCAAATGGATGCTGTTTTTCTCAACCTCTTTCTAATTTGTTGAATCGTAAACACAACAAGTGGCATGTGAGATCTGCAGCGCTTTGAATGTTGTTCATTGGACTTTCAAAGTCTTGAAATTATATTTTCACACAGGGTCAGCTTTGCTTGGATAGTCCCTAAACACATGAAACCATTGAAAAGAGCTGGTTGTATTTATTCAGGTTTGCTTTGATGTTAAAATGAGTTTCATGATCTGAAACATTTAGTTGGGTTTTGAAATGCCTCATTCTTTATTTGGTTTGTGACATATGACATCACATATCATATCAAAATGCATTATATACATGGGATTGTATCAGGGCAGTCCTACTTTAACCAACTATGACATTTTTTTGCCTTAAGAATAATGATGAGTCAACAGATATGTAAGATATTTGCATGGGAATTTGTATGTGACTAAAAGAGTGGTGTTGGTTAAAGCTTTGGGTTGATTATCATTTTATTGTCCATTTTTTGTAATGGGTTTTTTTAGAAGAAATAATTATAATTTTAAAGAAAAAACACCAAAGTTTATGGCCACCATGACATTAACAGTTTAAATTTGTGTAGATGATCTGAGCTTAAGATATATTTATGAAGAGACATTAGAAGTGAGAGTAGAAGAACTTACTAAAAATCACCTCATCATTCAGAGTTCACAGCACATAAACTAAATGATTGTCATCGCTCTTTGTTCTCATTAGGGCAAGGCGACGATGAGCTTTCTGACCCTCTGGCAACGAGCAACTGCAACACAGACATGCATCTTAAAGAAATCACCAACTTGCCGCTGTGTTTCCAAAGGTTTCGCTGGCTGCTGAGCACATGTATGGATGGCTGGAGGGCCTATTATCGACAACCCGTCTTCCTGGCCGGATTGGGTCTGGCTTTCCTCTACACTACAGTCCTGGGCTTTGACTGCATCACCACTGGCTATGCTTACACTCAGGGCATAAGCGGCTCCCTCCTAAGTCTGCTGATGGGCGTGTCGGCTATCACAGGGTTGATGGGCACTGTGATGTTCACCAGGCTCAGGAAGTCGGTCGGCTTGGTTAATACAGGAATCATCTCAAGCTGCCTCCACCTGGGTTGCTTGTTGCTGTGTGTGTGCTCTGTGTTTGCTCCTGGCAGCCCTATAGATCTCAGTCTGCTGATGCCCTACTTTAGCTCCGGTTCCTCTGCTGAGCCTGGAGGAATGGCAAGCAAAAGGCAAAAACACACTTATCCTCTTTCGGGAGGGAGCAATCAGCCGCTGCTTCCGGATCGCTCCTCCATACACTGGACCAACAACACCGTCCTTTTTGACAACGTCCCCTCTGGAACGGCACCGGACTCTTACATTTCCATTATTCTGCTATTCCTGGGCGTCATCACTGCACGCATTGGTGAGTACACCAACTTCAAAATGAAGGTGAAAATTGTTCAGGAAAAGATTGATGATGCATAGTTAGACAAGCGAAGACTCAACGAATTCTAATCTGGAAACCTCTGAAAAAATAAAGTGAATTGTGAAAATTAGTGAAACGTATCTAGAAATACCACATCTGACAGCACAGCTAAAAGTTCTGCTATAAAATGCCAGTGCGGTGAGCCTTCCCTCAATCGAGGCCCTGTGACATTATAGGTAGGCGTTCTTAAATTAACGCCTACCTATAATTTCAAAACTACAAATTTGTTTACCCTTGGATGTTTTCACATATTGTCAACTTGCAGCCCCGTACTTTCAGGCGTTCTACTGGGATTTATATATGACCAACACTAACTGCTATGTAATTGTGAAGTCAAAGATAAAGGATATAATTTTAAAATACATGTTTCGTAAAAAAAAAACATCAACAAAAAAAAAAACAGTTTAAAGTTCATTATCACAGCTGTTCACCTCTGATAGCCCTAAATGAAATCCATTTCAACCAGCTGCCTTCAAAAGTCTCGTAATTAGTACATCATGTACACCAGAGTGTAATTCAGTCTCAGTTGAGCGAAGCTGTTCTGTGAAGGCCTCAGAGGTTTGTTGGCAAACATTAGAGAACAAACGGCATCATTAAGACCAAGGCATACAGCAGACAGCTCAGGGACAAAGATGAGAAGTAACTCAATGCGGTGCTACGTTATAAAACAATATCCCGAGTTTAAAACGCATCTTGAAGAACTGCTTATCCACCTGAAATGAGAGGCCAGGGAAGTTAAGCGTTATTGAGAGAAACAGACAAAGAAAGGCCCTGGTAACTTTGGATTTGCAGTGCAGGTGAGGGGAATCTGTCAACAAAACAATTGTTAGTGTGTACTTTGCAAATATGCTCTTAAATAGAAGAGTGCCAAGAAGTAAGCCATTGCTGAACAAGCCATCACGAATCCCATTTTTCATTAGCCATGCAGGGGACACAGCAAACATGCACAAATGGTTTGGCTAGATCAGAGATCAAAAAGAGAAGGGCACATAAAGCTGAACACAGGGAAATACGATAGATGCAGCATCTTGGTTTTCTTTTGTTGGGGTTGCAATGTTGAAAAAAATAAAAATAAAACAAAAACTGCATGCATCAACTTTTAAAGAGTAAATGCATATGTGTTTTTCAGGCTTGTGGTGCTTCGACCTGACTGTGACCCAGCTTCTGCAGGAGACCATCTGTGAGTCAGAGCGAGGGGTGGTAAATGGGGTGCAGAGCTCCATGAATTATCTAATGGACCTGCTCCACTTTATCATGGTGATTTCTGCTCCACAACCTCAGCACTTTGGCATCCTCGTTATCATATCTGTAATATTCATCACCACCGGGCACAGTATGTATTTCCTGTACGCACATAGAGCCAAGAGAAAACACCGCCTCGAAACATAAGAAGGAGACGCGGCTTAGACATAAGCACTGGATCCACTCTGCACCTGGGAAATGAATGCCTCCCCCCCTGATCTGTGACTGCGACACTCTGTTCGTGACTTAGCCATCCATTACACTTCACACTTGATTTCACGTGTGCAGCTGAAGGAACGACAGGAGACGAGTTCTCCGATATTCTCCACATCCTAAGGTGGCTGCCACAAATGAAGCGATGATGCATCTAGGAGAAACGTCCTACACGAGGACACGACGGTGATGACTAAGGCATCAGAGGATTTTGGTGCAAACTCTGCAGAGTTACAACAGCTATAAGACTTTTGAGCAGGTCTGCAACCTTACATGGCTTTATAGATGAAGGGGTGGGTGAACAGTGAGTTTTTGTTTTTTTTTTTTTCTGGCCTTCACTCAGTGAAGAGAAGATGAGAGGAAGAGATCAACATGAACAAATTAGAGGGACAACAAAACGGTTCTTTGACAAGTGGCATCGATGTTACTGATCCGTCCACTTGGAAATACTCCAGAATGTCCAAAAAGGAACATAAAGGGAACTGGATGTGAGATTGTTTGATCAAAAAAATAAAAAAATAAAAATACAAGTCAGCCTCCCCTTTTAGTGGACAAAGTGAATGGAAAAATAGCATTTCCTTCACCTGGTTTGTTTCTCTGTGGATGAATCAAGCAAACATTTGCCTTGTTTTTTTTTTTTTTATATAATGATATAAAACTAGCTGATGGATTAAAACGCCAAAAGAAATCTCATCATGCCTTGCAATAGTACTCATATTCTTTTCATATTTTATTAATACTCAACAAGACACTTTTTTTTTCTGAAAACTGACCACAAATAAGTGTATGATTGTAATATGGAAAGAACCAAATGTATCTTACTTTTTTCTTTTTAAATATGTTTTTGAAAAGTATGGAGTGCTGTTGCATTAATCCTTCTGATACATTCTTTTTACACACACCTTACGTAGCTGCTGCTACATCTGCAAGTGTTTTGGGCACATTTCTTCAAGCTTCATAGAAACAGAAATGTTTGTTTATTTATTTATTTATTTATTTATTTTTGTTTTTTATTTTTGCAAAAAAAGTGAAATTCTGCCAGATTGGTGCTGCTTTAACAGCTATTTTTCAGTCTTGCCACTCATTCTTCACCAGATTTAAGTCTGTACTTTGACTGAACCATTCTAAAACTTGAATATGCTTAAATCTCTGGCTGAGTCATTATCATGGAAAGTGTCAGCTTCAGTTTGTCTGTCCCTGACATGACACTATCACCTCTGTGTTTCACCGTGGGAGTGGTGTGTTTAGGGTGCTGTCAGTTTTATATCTGTGGGCCACACATTTCTTTTCTTACAGCATACATTGACAGAAGTAGAGAATCTTACATAAAAGCCATAATAAGTGCTAAGCTAACAGATGCCCTCTTGACTGATTGTCCCACCTGAACTGTGCATCTGTGCAGCTCCTCCAGCTTTTCAGAGGGGCTTTTTTTCTGCTTTTCTGATTAATGGACTTCTTGCTTACCTTCTATGCTTAGATATGTGGGCCACTACTTTATAGGCTTGCTTTTGTTCCACACCTTTTCCATTTAGGGATAATAGATTGAATACTGCTACGTGAGATGCTCAGCTTGGGATCTTGTTATATAATTGTTTTCAAATTCTCCGCAACTTTATCCCTGATCTGTCTGCTCTGTTGTTTGCTGTTTGTTCAGCAATGTTCTCTCGCAAATCTCGCCAGTTACTGCAAATAAATGACACACGGGTTTCTGATTTAATTACTTCTTAAAGAAGTGATTTCTTTCTTTCTTTAGAGGTATCAGAGTTAAATGGGATGAATACAAATGCATTCCAGACTTTTCAAATATTTTTTTTTCACTTATTAAAAACGATGGAGCATTTTTTTTCCCCACTACATGGTTACCCACTACTTTGTGTTGATCTACAGCATAAAATCACAACAAAATACATTGAAACTCTGTGACTTTAAAAAATTTAAAATAATTAAAGATGTATTATCACTTTTTGCAAGGCACCAATTAATAAACTTAAATGAAGATGGTTTTACCAAACAGCTTTGTGTATATAGATTAGCTTAAGGTTTCCTTAATTATTTCCCTTGTTAGGTGTGAGATTATTAGCTTTACAGAAATTCAAGGGTAAAACAATATTGTTGTTTTAATTTTTGCTTCATTCTTTTGCAGTTCAGATGAACTAAACTGTGACCTTACCTCAACTAGGAACAAGAACACATCATACAACTTACTCTCAGCTACCTAATGTTGTCATATTCCATTAATGTACAGTAGAACTATCAACCATGTTCTACCACCTGTTAAACAAGTATCATATCTCAGTATATTTGTTTAATTTTGTGCATTTTTTTGTATTGATTATTGATGTTTGTAATAATAAAGATGAAGATTACCTTTGACTTAAATAAATGTATGTATGAAACATTTTTTTGTTGACTGACTGATCAACGCCCTATGAGCAAACCTGGGGGCGTTCCTGATGAAAACAAAACAAAAATAAAAGACAGGAAAGATTCAAATTTCTTAAATAAAGCTTGTCTACTAATTAACAGCATATGGCATTTTTAACATCATCAGTCATGTATCAAGTCAAGTGTTGGTAGCATCAGACTCTCAGGGTCTCATTCTTGTTTTTTTTTTTGTTTTTTTGTCAAGATGTGGGTCTGTTGGCATCTTAACAGCCATGACATTCGGAGCGCACTACAGGGGTTCATGACTGAGTGTAAAAACAGCGGGTATGAGAGTCAGCTCCTCAAATATTGAGGCCATGGTTCAGAACTGGAATAAGATGGGCTGCTAAAAACATGACAATAGGGCAAATGTGGTAGAAAAAAAACAGAGCGCAGTCAAAAGACAAAGTTTGTGACAATTGATCTGTTTTGGGTTCATGTGTCTTCTGGAGATCCTGGAACTGGCCTAGAACTTGTTTGACGAATCAAGTGTCTCTTCTGAAACACATGGGTGCATGACAAGACAAAGCAAAACAACAAGAAGATCAAGATGAAAGAGTACACATCGCAAATCCTGAAACACCCAATTAAAAGCCACAACAACTTATATCAAGACTAAAGTGCTGACGGAAAAGCTCTTTACCCTCTTCAAAACTTAGAAAACAAGTAAAGATGTGCCGTTTTGTAGGAGACCAGTGACTTCCCCACCAGATGGTCAGGAAGGTGTTAGGGACTCTAAGAATAGCAGAAAACAGCAGTGATCCTGCAGTGGGAATGGCATGACTTCCACTTTGAAGTCAGTCTGCTGCCTCCCTCAACCTCGTCTCCCGTCCCCTCAAAATGGTAATCTCTGTTGTAAAAGAATCAGCACTCCCATAGTGCACCAGTCTCACACGTGGTTCGGTTTTGTGCCTTAAAGACTTTAAAAATTAAGCAGCTTCCACACGCCTACAAAGGGCGCTTCGTGTTTTTATGGTTCAACATCTCTGTTAAAACCGAAAAGGACTGGGAAACGTTTCTGAAAGAGGGATTCTGTAACAAGCTGGGGAAAGTTTCATCACTTTGCGATTCTTTTGCAGCGCAGCACACCCACGGTAGCAGCACAACTCCCAAGGTTGCAGTTGTGGTCCCTGTTTACACAGCGGAAGCTCGTTAACAAGTCTGACTTCAGGCGTTCTCACTTGCTAATTCATTTACTTGAGAAACTAGGTCAGTGGTACCACATTATTACTAGATTCATCCTTTGGCTCCATCTTATTTTTCTTTCCTCCATGGAATGATATGTATTATGTCCAAAGAAAGTGCTAAACGCTGCAATGATGGATTGTAGCCTATACAAATGCATTTTTTACAATTATTTTGGGCTCATTACAGTTCATGTGTCTGATATTAAGGCAGCCTCCCAAAACAGCTAATCGACCATCATCTGGAGACTGGACTTCGCGCAGAAAGACTGAGACGACGAGCTTTTCTCATTCCTCAGTCTGCTTTGTCACCAGCCTGAGGCAGTGGTGCAGTTAAATGGCTTTGCTTGGACGCAGTCAAGCATCGCAGTGCTGACAGAGGTGAAAAAATGAATAACTATAGTAGATAAAGTGTTCAAATAGAGAAATAATGTCCTTGCTTTATCTTGATCTGTGCTTGTGCTGAAGGATCACACTGATCCCTTTTTGTATGTTTAGGTTATCAAAGCAACAGCATTCACATAAAAAGACAAAAATGAACAGTATATGGTATGCTTTTTCAAAGAGACACTTTCTGCTTTTGAAGAAAAAGCAAGTGAAACTGAAACTACCTGCACAGAAAATGGGTTATATTTACTGACATGCAAAAAGAGCCAGTGATTCCCTTGGAATGAGCAGTAAGAGGAGAATCGGTGGAGTAACATCCCCAATTTGTAGCTATGGACTGACAATGAAACAGCTAAAGAAAGGACACCGTGCTTTTCTCTCAGGTGATGGACCTTCCTCAGACTGATGTCAGAGCATACATGTCGACAAGAAGCATCTCACCGGAGTTGTTTCAGCCAAAGATTAAATAACGATTTAAGGATAGGGTGTTATCACTTTTTCCTTTTTTTTTTTTAACTTATTTTGTTTAGTGTTTTATTGTTTGAAAATAAATAAAACTTTTAAAAAAAGATGAGATTAAATGTGAATGTTTCTTAGCAAAAAAACTATATATTTATTGGTGTGCCCTAATTTTATTGGGCATAAAAATGTATTGAATTTAGAATTTATTTATCACTTTTCTGGTACTATCAATCACTTTTACACCAAATTCACTCAGCTGCACTGACAAAAAAAAAAAAAAAAAGAAACAACAACAAAAACGAAATATTTCCATCAATACACAGAGAGGTAATCAACATGGGGTTAAATGAATTGCCTATTGGCACGTCGACATGTGGGGATGAGAGAGCTGGAGTCAAATCCACAGCTTTCCAACTGCAAGACAATTAATCTTAACCCCTGAGCCACTGTAACACTTTCGTGATTTTTCTGACTTCAATTATGGTTTTATTTTATTTTATTTATTTACTAAGCAACTTTGCCAGTACTTTAAGAGGAGGCAGAATTTCTGGAGCAACACAAATTATGTTGTCCTTCACTAATCCACTTTGATTGTTTTTCAACCCCACAGTGCACAATGCGCTGGCCTGGTTTGATAGCGTCTGCATCATAATGTTCTTTTGTCTCCTGTACCTATTGCCATACTTAATACATCACCACCCTTAAAACATTTGACCTTCTGCTACCCTGCCCAGTCCTGACTCTCTCCTGCATGGGAGTTTTCGAAACTTCCTTTTCTGGGCTGTCTGGCTCTCCAGATGTTTCCTCCGTGCTCCAAAACCCACCCACCTCCCATTTGGTGAAAGGTGCAACACTGACAGAGCGGGGCCGTGTCTTTCACTTGTAGTCCAGCCCATAACTCACATGAGGAATGCAGCCGAGGAAGTCTTTTAGAAAGTTCTGAACAAGGTGCACAGCACCTGGTATTTACTCAGACAACTCTTATGTCTTTTCCTTATTTGGACTACTTTCACACAAACCAGTGTTTGCTTCAGAGCTACTCTGTTATCTTGCTTCTTTTGAATCCAGCAAGTGGTTATTAGCTGACAATGTCGTGGGACTGTGGTCTCAAGTACATGTTCTCTATGCCCCCTGCACTGCAGCAGGGTAACAAATGCATCCTGCATGACAAGGAGGACCTGTCCAGACTGGAGATGGTCCAGAGATTGGCGAAGGACGGCTGCCGGTTCCTGCAAAACCACAGCAAGGGTCCAGAGAAGACGTCTCAGGTGAGAGACACAAAGATCATATCTGTGATTTTCACTGCAAACATCTATCTGACATTCTGCACTGATTTCTCTGTAGCATCTATAATTAATCAAGCTGCCAATATGATATTGTACATCTCTGTCTCCATGCTGAATTTTGTTTAGTTAATGTATTTGAATAGAATGGGACATTAATTGTCCCTGACTGAGAGAAATCCCTGGATGTTTACAGATTAAATACACAAATTAAGGAAAACTATATTATAAGACATATCTCTGGATATTTGTGAAAAAAAAAGCTGGGCACAAAGCTACATTAAGGTCTGTTGGAAGAAATGGACTCAACATAAGTAGAGAAATATTACTGCAAAAATGTAAACAACCTTGCACAGTAAAATCTGGCCACATACATATTGTCTATTTTCAATGTCTAAACAGAAACAATCAACTAAAACTATCCTCTGTGCTCCTGTGGATGACCATAAACTCAAAGTGGAGTCTATTGTGGTTACTTGATACATGCAGTCATAATAAGTAAGTCAGAATATATGTGCATATTTTAGCACCTTTTGGAAAACAACGTCACAACCTATGCACAAGTTTTAAGCATACTTTTAGGTGAGCCCACATTTCTGTGTAAAAAAAAAAAAATCTTAATCTGATGTAATATTTGAATCTTAAATGTTAAACATCAAATATGTTGAAGGATCATCGGGATTAAAAAAATAAATAAAAGCTTGCAAATTTCAGTCTGTGTGTAAAGAAAACTACATATGTTTCACATAGGGAATGGTGTTACTGGAATAAACGAATATTCTAATATCATTCTAACTTATTAAGTAAGTATAGCTATATATTTTATCAAATAAGTACATTTGCCCTGCACACATTTCGTCTAACTTCAGATGAAGTTAGACGCACAAACCATCCTCGCGTGAAAGCGCCACAAACACATGGGTGGTGATTGTGGCACCATCCATTTATGAAATCTGCCACTTCTGAAAGCATAAGTGCACACACACTGTTCAGTCTCACCCGCCTGTGCTTTGAAAAAAAAACACAAAAAAAAAACACATTACATCAGCCCAAGAGCCCTCTGATTGGCCAGAGCTCTGGAGGGTTTAGCTTCACCCTTCCTGCCAGCTGTATCGGCTCGCTGGACTTTTAGACAATTGCAGGAAAGGTTGACGTCTTTGGCTGGAATATACTGGCAGTACATTATGTGGTCTCTGGGTGGGTTCCCGTGCGTCAGATTTGTGACCTTTTCTCCCTAACAAGGCCAGATCTTCTCATCTGTTAAGCATTCAGTAAAGTTCGCCACCTGCGTTAAGCCGCCACCAATCACAGTGCGACCAAATGTCAGCAAAGTAGATAACTTTGGCATTCTATTTACTGCGCACTTGCATGGTGTACACTTGGAATGCAATTGAAAAATCACAAAAGGTTGACCACGAGTTTAATATTTCAACTGATCTAGAAATCACAGTATTATATAAAATTATCCTGTTTCGTGTTTGCAAAGCGATTCAAACTGGTGCTGGAGTTCACCCAACACATACTGTACGGCGTAATGTGTGATTCATTTAAATATGTGAAATCAGACATCAAAGAGCGTAGAAATAAGTTTACTCCATGTTGAAACAAAATGGCCAAATGTACAACAATGTACTGCTCCTATTGGAAGATCGAACCCTCTAAAAGAAAACAGGAGAGCATCTCAGAAATGAAGGAGCTCTGTTTCCTCCTGAACCCAGATCCTGGATGAGCTGAAGACAGCTGATGGATGGATTTGACGGGTGCTGAAGGCTAAAAAGTATTTTTTTTTTTTTTAGAGCTTGTCTAAGTTGAAAGTGTGAAGTTTGAGGCTTTGCTGTATACCACCTCCTCTAGAATTAAAATAAACTCTAAATTTCCAAGCCAGTTTTCATTGTTTGAGAAACTAAGCTACTCTCTTCATCTTCTTGCCATCTCATGCTGTTCTTTCTGAGGGAATTTGGTCTCGTCTGCACTCGGTACAGACAGTACAGACACTTTGCAGGCCTTGTTAATTGTCTCACGCCATCCACACCAGACGTGAACGAGGACAGAAAACATCTGAGGAACGTGACTTTGAGCAGAAGCCTGAGATCCTATTTATTACGAGGACTTCTTTGGAAACGTTGACTCAAGATCTTTTCGGCTTGTGTTGCATTTTATTCACCGGCTCAGGGGATCTGATTGTTTGTCTTTTGTATTGAGTCTGTCTCCCACTGCACACAGACATTTATCCCAGAGAAGCTGTGGTCAGATCAATAATTCATTCTTGGGGGGGAACATGGACATCCACACTTTGGCTTTGGTGTCGTGATTTGAGTCAGAAAAAACTGTGCATTGAAGCTAAAAGCAAAGCACCTGGTGGGTCTGCCTGGAAATACGGAGTACATTTCACTGCAACCAGGAAGCTAATCATCATCTTTTCGTCGTGGTTCAGATTCCGTGAACAGAAGTGCGGCGGCTCCACCCTTTTTATGGTTGAAAATACACAAGAGGCATTTTCTTTGTGCCTGCTTGCTGGTTAGATTGGGATCAGCTGGAACAGCTTTATGAGATGCGCTCAAAGTCATGAATCACTCAAGAAGCCGCCAGCATGTCTTAAAGTTAATATTCCATCCTGCGCACATGGGAACATCCCTGCTGTTTCTTCCAGCAGTCAGTCTTTTTTGTCTCTGTGTGCCCTCTGGTTGAGTGTTACTGTGCCAGGAAATCCTGCTTTACTGAAGGATCATGTATTTGTCTCCACAAAATACAATTAGGGCTGCAAACTGCAGCCACTTCCAGCCTGTCAGCCCCGGCTAATTGCATGAACAGAGGTGATTCATTGACTGACGGTTGACGACTGAAGGAGGGGAGGGGGGTGGGGGTGGGGGGGGCTATCAACAAGGAGCTGATGCATGAGAGTGTATACAGTGAAATCTTCATTAGGGCCAGTATATCTGATCTGGGTCCTGCACTGTCCAGATCCAATCAGGAATTGTGTTACTGCAAGCACAACAGTTCTTCCTCAGAGTGGAGGCTGCGAAAGACTGAAAAGAAGACAAAGAAAAACTGGAATACAACATGGCTGCATTTCACATGAAGATGATTAACTTTTAATCACAAGTTCACAGAAGCGTCCTGTTAATAGCAAGAGAACCCTTCTTGATAAGAAAAGAGAAATGTGAATAAAACATGAAGAAACGGTCTTTGTAAAAAAAAAAAACATAAAATATAGATCTTAGTACAGTTGGAAAGATTTGCGTTTGAAAGTTGTACAAATACAGTGAACCACACAGAAATAAATCAATAAACAAAATAAAAAGTAATGCAACATAAAAAAAGGAGGTCGGGGGGTTTTGGGTGCTACTCCGCGGCAATATGTAAATGTTGCTTAAATGGACAGGGTTGTGGGAATTGTAGGTTTTTGAATTTTTTTTTTTTTTTTTGTTGATTAAATATTTACAGTGTTTCATAAATGCAGTATAGTCGGGGGGAAAAAATCGCCAAAAAAAGTAGCCAAAAAGTTTAGGTGGATGATGATGTCTTGGAAGGTTTGCACAGACGCACACTCTCCATTTTCAGGATGACACATGAACACAAATGCCAGCCACACTTTTCAGATTTTTGTTTGTAAAGAAAACACACCCCACAATTATGCCCTAGTTTCTCTCTGCTTATCACACAACAGCCCAATAAAATACACTGAAGCTTGTAGTTGTGAGGTGACAAACTGTGTAAAAGATTCAAGAGAACACTTTTGAAAAGCATTCTACATTAAAAAACAAACAACATAATTCCTAAAACTGCTAAAACTAAAAAAGAAAAACCTGTAAACTACAACTGGATTGCTTTGGTTTTCTTCATGTATGCCAGTTTAAACAGAGATGTTACATTATGTCATAGAGTTGTTGGGTCCTAGATTGTGGTTCGTTGGCAATGATGAAAAAGAATTGAAATGCACCTTATTGGGGATAAATCCCTCCCCTGGCTGGGGGAGTTAGTGTGTGGATCAAAGCCTAATAAGCAGAAGTCCAAACCATTGTTAGTATGCACAGTATAACCAAATGACAGCTTCAAATACACTCCCCCTCCTGGACATCCCCCATAATTTAATTGGCTCTGTGCATAAATCAGTAATTTAAATATGACTCATTTATGTTAATCCCTGAATGGGCTCCTGCGATAAGGACCAAATAATGATGTATGTGGACGTTCTCTTTCTATTTCCGACCTGCTTTTGACAGTGCATTATGATGGAAATCAGAGGAAATTTATGTGAGAGTAAGAAAAGGGAATCTCCTTTATGAAACACTCAGACCCCCCCCCTCCCTCTTCTTTTTTTTTTCCCTCTCTCCAGCCACAGAGTGACGAGGCAGTCCGCTTGTGTGTGAGGGAGCGGGGCCACGATGTGCTCGTTCTCCGTCGAGTGTTGTCAGAGCAGCCAGCGCACGCTGCGTGGTCGAGGGGAGGAGGAGGGAGGGAAGAGGCGAGGACCAGGAGGTAAGCCTCTCCCCTCCCTCCTTCCTCCCTCTCTCAGTTTCTCTCTCTCTCTCTCAGCTCTCCTTCTCTCATCAGCCTCCTCCTCTGGCTCTGTCGCTCACACACTCACTCAGGCGTGCCCACATCTCAGCTCTCCACTCAAATGACTACATTAAACAGATATAAATGAGCAGCATGGGGCTGTGAGACGGCCTTTCCCAGTCATAGAGGGGGATCCCTCGGCGTGAACACGCCAGGGTGGATGCATGAAGGTGTCACGCGGCAGTAAGCGCAGCCGGGGTGAGGGCACGGCAACTCTTCAGGGATGGGATCTCGTCCTCAGCCCCTGAACCTGCAGAAGGACGGCGGGCTGCTGCTGCTGCACGCAGCCCTGGTGGAGCAGGAGGAGGACGAGGAGGACGGGGAGGAGAGCAGCAGCACCGGCACCAGCCGGGCAGAGCCGCAGACGATGCCCACCTTTGACGTCCCCTACTTTCGTTACATAGACGATGAGGGAACAGAGGGGGAGGAGGAATGGAGCAGCAGCAGATCTCTGTCCTCCATCGGCAGGGACTCCTCCGCTGACTCTGTTGTGTCTGACAGGTACGCGGTGGTGTCAGGGACCCCCGAAAAGATCCTGGAGCATCTGCTGGGTGACATGACGCTGGATGATGACCGAGGGACCACGCAGGGGAAAGAGTCAGGTCAGCATCCTTACTTTAACTCTTTGCCTCTCTTCTTTTAAACTTACTTTGTCGTGATAGGGTATGGAAAAGCATTTTGATATCTACCGCTATCTATCACTAGCTGTTAAATGTATGAAAAAAGGACTAAAAAAATGAAATGAAAAGAAGTTTCTTTTACCCCTTCTGGTCTCCATAATGAGCCGGTGCTGCAGTTCGTCTCCAGGCGATATCATCGGTTGATTATGAGTGTCTAAATGTTCAGCCTGTTTTTTTTTGTTTTTTTTTTTAAAGCTTGTCACTTGAGTTTTCTGCAAGCTAGATCCAACTCACTGAAGAAATAGCTTGTCAACTATGGTGCAACACATTATATTCAGCTTTCCTGTTTGCTTGGCCTTTTTGATGCAAATTAAGATAAAATCTATATATTTTTTTAGAAATAAGCTACTGTACCTCCGGTGACATCACAATAGGCATAAGGGAACTAATGACAGCAAATTTAAGTTAGTAAATCTTAGTATTTCTACTCTTTAGTACCATAACTCTCGATGAAGCACACAAGGTTGAACCTCAATACTCAAACTGAAAACTTAGTTGCATGTCACAATGGTTACTGAAACCAACTGATTAGATACATTACGAACAATTAATTTTTCTTTTGGCTTCAGAGCATTTTTTTCCTCCTACTTTGCGTTTTTGGAAATCTTACAATCCAGATTCCGCTAACCAGCTATGTTTTTACTGTCAGTTCACTTTCGTTGTTGGGAGGGAAAAAAATAGCACATGATTAAATCTTTAAACCAGTGAGAAATATGCAACGCTTCCTCATATCTTTTGAGCGTGGCTGCAGTGGACCGCGCCACATGAACTCCAGCCCCGCAGCAGCGACAAATCAACACATTTCCTCTCATCCCAGCAGGTACATGATAATGTGACACTGTTGCCAAGGCAGAGGAGACCCTCTGTTGCTGAAGCTGAAGACGTTTGCTCAACGAGAGACGATGACTGAGAGCAGTGCAATAGTCAGACAGAGAGAGAAAGAAAGCAAATAAAAAGAAGGAGGAGAAAAAATAAGATTTGTTTTCTCTTACAAGAGGAAACCGTCATCAGTGGAGGCTCAGATCATGATTAGCAGACGAACTGAGTGAAACTGTAGTGCTAGGAATGCATTTTTAGATGGAGGAAGGAGTTACATTTAAAAAAAATAAATAAAACTGCTCATATCCTTACATAAATAAATGGCTTAAGTTCATCATAGATCCATTGCTCTGTGATATAATTAAGCATATATCTCCCGATGGATTATTAAATCAAATCCCAATGTCAAACAACCAGAGACCAGAGGAGTCATGAGCAGCAGCTAATCTTTACTCAGAGATGTTTAGCAGCTTGACTGCTGCTGGGCTGTACGCAGCTGCCTGCAAAAGTTGTTGTTCCTTTGATGCTACTTCTACGCTGATCCACAGAGCTTTGCAGAAGCGTGGTAGACTAAGGCGCTCTGATGTCATCAAACTCAAATACATTTTTCTTTGAGCAGTCCCCAAGTTGCTGTGTTTGATGTGGCTCTTCTAGATGGAGGAAAATGACTTGATTTTTAATATGTTTGGAGGTGTTTATCAGCAAATTAGCATATGATTATGCTGAGAGGTGTGGTGTGGAAGAAAAGGAGTCAGTCAACCTTGGATGCACAGCAACAAAGCTGGTCTATTATGTCTGGTTCGACACAGCAGATTTCAGAAATGGCAGCCATCCCATCAGCTCTCCTGCTACATCTAGCAGTCCACCCATAAACTGATTAAACCCCGCCTTCTCAATTTACACCAGCCAATCACGTCAGCCTTCCAGAGTGGTGGTGAGGGAAATTAGAAAATTGATTTATTTCAATAACACACAGTGTATACACTAACCATGAATTATCAATAATAAAATATTAGGCAGATATTTTATGCATGCAAATGCACAAATTATAAAACATTGTATTCTTTAAAGTACTTTAAGCTTTAGCCAATCAAACTCCAGCTCTTATCACTGCTGTTTCTGTGAAAGAGCTGGGTGTGATCGGTGGGCCTCTTCTTTAGCAGGATCCAAAGATGGCTGCCACAAAACACACACCCACAAGGTAACAAACATCTCAGCCACACACGCAAAAGATTAAATTACACTCTAGAACTAAAGTTAGAGAAAAAAAAAACATTGCCTCTTAACAATCAAAAATTTAATTAATGTCAGTAATTCAATTTTGAAAAGTGAAACTCGTGTATCGTAAAGACTCATTTCACATCAGGAGGCATTTTTCATTTGTTAATTTTAAAGAGCATACAACTTCAGCACATCTGCATTGCTGGCTCTGGTTTTTCTTGTCTTCCTTTTAACAATACTCCATAGATTATCTATCGGGTTTAGGTCAGGAAAGGTTAAAGACCAGTCACGCACAGTGGGTATTGATAGTCTGGCAGCGAGGACAAGTGCCGAGCCATGGTGTAAAAAGGAAATCCACTTCTCTATGGAGCTTGTGGGCTAAATGAGACACAAAACACTTTACATAACCTAGAAAATGAGTGCATTCAATATAGACTTGTTAAAACACGGTGGACCAACATCAGCAGATGGCATGACTCTCAAAATTGTATGTTTTCTTTTACTATACATTTTCTTTATACTACACTTTCCATTTTCATACTTATTTCCAACTTCTTTAGCAATAAGCTTTTTACTGTGAAGGGTTGTCGACAGCTGTCAGTTGTCTTTGACGACTGCGTCAGTCATTATATGTCATTTCTGTATTAAAAATCCTTCTTGTTATTCTATGTATAATTTACATATTCATATAAACTCCTTTTGGAGTTTTCATTAGTTGTAGGCAATTATTAAAAATAACAGTTAAAACCTATCACACTTAATGTCATAAATATATATGATGATATGAGCTTTACTGCTTAGGTGAAATTACTGGTATTAGTTCTATTTTCAATAAAACTCTCATTTACTGAGAAGTCCTGACCTGTACATGCAGCACAATGACTGCAGCAACTATTTGCAAATGCTCAGCTCACAACATTAAGAATGCAGAGAATTTCTTCTTCCTGCAAAACGAGGCACTTTTCTGGAAGCACCAGAGGCATGTTTGAAGGGGAAAGCAAACATGAACCACGGCTGAGTGAAAGGTTGATGTTTTCCTTACCTTCCTTTGCATTCATAAGCACCACGCAGGACAGCCTCAGCTTTTCCTGGGCTTCATCTCAAATGCGGTTATTGATTCCTTCGCTGCACAGAGTAGCCAGCTCTCAGAAGCATGTTCCAGATCATTCGTTCCTGTAATGACAGGATGTTCGTGGTGTTTTGTGACAGGACAAAAATGAATCCCATTAGGTGAATGACTGTCACTTTCTAAGATAATAAAGGCTCTTGTTTGTCGAAAATAAATAAAAAAAGTTGCACATTGCTGTGCTCACTGAATAGTTTGCACTTATCAGCACAGAGCGACAACTAGTCATGTACTCTGATTAATTATTTTCAAATGATGTCATCGGACAAAATATTAAAGTTAAACAAATTCTGGCATTTTAAAGACTAAAATAAATAGACTACAAATACATACAAAATAAATTCAGACAGAAGAAACGCTTTTTCAAATAACTTTTTTTTTTTTCATATTAACTATATACACAAAATTAACACTTAACATGTACACAGGCTGCATGTGTACATGTTAGAACATTGCCTGAATGCATGGGCCCGGCCCGCCGTACTCTCTGGCACTGGTCCTGTTCTTCAGGAACCGTTGATCGCTTCTCAGGATAAAGAACTTCTTCAGAAATGTGACTGTGGACGCTGACGTTTCCGTTGGGCATATCTGTTGCTTGCCAAAGCTTGTTTACGACTCAGATGGTATTTTAGGCTTGAATAGTTTCGGTGATATGTGTACTCTTTGTTGCACATCTTACACACTATCATAGTATTTTCCAGCAAAAAAAAAAAAAAAAAATCACCACCAGTGGGCCAAGAGAGGAGGCTTTGTCGTCCATAAATGTTGTTTGCAGATGCTAGTTGTACATCAAAGTTGTATCCCAGAAACAGAAGAAAAAAAAAATATATATATATATATATATATATATATATATATATATATATATATATATATATATACATATATAATTTTTTTATATATATTTTTATATATATATGTATATATACATATATATAATTTATCATATATATATATATATATATATATATATATATATATATATATATATAGACAGTGTGTACACACCACACAAAAACACTCTCTCACATCT